GCTATGCCCTTCACCTCAGCTTGGTTTGTTGGCTTTGATCCACCCCTTTCAAGATGTGCCTCAACAACTACCAAACTTAATCATCTCAGAAAACATATCCTTCTCTAGTACAGCTTTAATAACATCCTTAACAAGCAAAGGTAGATGATCTCAGTCTGAAAATGTGCAGTTATTCTAAAAAGACTGAAACTAAGGCCAATCTTTATCTTTGAGAAAGGGATTATAAAAACCAGATCGTATAGGAAGAGAATTGTGTTCATGGAAATGATAAGAGAAATGCCTTACAACAAACTCTGCCCCAAAAGCTGCTTGTTTTCTTTTAACAGGAGACAAATTCATTAATGACCCCAAATAATAGGTAAAAAGGACTATCATACTGAGCTTGTTCAGACAAAGTGAGTTATGCATTTACTTGATATCCCTAAGAAATGCCACCCCAAGAAAACTGGGGGATTTAAACCTTTCAAGATGATTGCTATGAATCTCAGCACAGTTCTTCTAGAATCAACTTAAGCAATGCCTTGTCCAAAATAAGCAAACTTGTTGATTTGAAAAAGAATAAATAAAGTACAAAGAGGGACGGCTGTGCCATGAATCATTATGCAAACAAATAAGATACGGAATTTCTGTCTTGGTTGTGATACATGTTATCATAACTACCACTAACTTACATGTGTGCCATTTCAAATGTCTAATTTGATACTCCCAACTATTGCTCTGCAAGCAAAGTAACAGATGATAAAGTTGAGGCTAGGTAATGAGTTATTTCGTGCTGCTGCTAGTAAGAACATGGCACTAGAACCCAGATCTTCTGATTCTTCTGCCCCATGATGTCTCTCTGTGGGGTGTTTCTTGTGTAAGCTGTGGAAGAAGCCTTCAAATAGTGAAATCAACTGGTTGAGAAATAATTGGCATCTTTTCAAGTGTGCTCCTTAAGTCGCTATTGTGTCATGATACCCTGAGTTTCTAAGTTTGGGAACTGCTCCCCATGTAGCCTATGATATATAATCTGCATTTGTTTATTAAAAACTCTGAGCAATCCCACCCCAAAGAATTCTATATAATCTTAACTCTGCATTCTTTAAACTTATTTGATCACAAACTCTTTGTATTATTTGTTAATATCACACAGGTCAATATTCTTTGGAAAATATTTCAAACTATCTTAAAAACAAGTATGCAGTGACATGAGTAAATTAAACAAAAAAATTATGCCTTATTCTACCTTGGCTGTTCCCCAGTTTCTTTGACCCAAACTAATTTCTGAAAGTAATATTAATTCTAAGTAAGATCTCTGCAGATGCAGGGTATTATCAGGAGCATGTGAGGAAAGGTGAGATTGTAAAGAACAGGCATCAGGAGGGAAGATCAATACAGAGACAGCTCTGCCTCCCACCTCCCAGTGACTTGCAGAAACTCTGGTGGCCTCACACTTCACTTTTTCTCTCCACCTACTTTAGCTTTTCATTTGTTAAGGGTTATAACAGCAGTTTGAGGAATAAGATGTTTCTCCACCCATTGCCCCTCTGTAACTTTCCCCATTGTCCTTAGTCTTCAGAGAGGAAAGTTGGGCTTTCTGGAGGTTATGGGAAGGTCACTCTGTGGTTGCATAGAACAAAGACTGGTGGCATTAAGGAAAAGGGGAAAGTAACTTGTGTGCCTTCCAGAAACCTTTATCAAGTATTAATTAACCAGTCAATTGAAATTCACTGAACCAACAGGGAGCCCTTTCTTTATTAAATGACTTTTTCACACCTTCTTATCACTGGCTGCTACTTGCCGGTTGACTAATAAGGCACCTTCCTTGGAGAGAATTAATGTTGACTTTTCTTGACTTCACATCTTTATATCCATATTAAATTAATTGGGCTATGTTGCCAGTATACTGCACATATGTCCCATGGATGGGGTTCAGGACACACTATCCACAAACATAGCACCTTGGCATTTGCTATTCTCACCTTCTTCCTCCTTTCTCCCAGAAGTAGGCCAGAAATTCTAGCTGACCTTCCCCTGAAGTGGGTCAGAAGACTCACTCCAGGGAGATTCTCTCTCTACCTGGAGAAAAGGAGCCAAGACACAGAGGCGCCAAGAATCTGAAGGAACAGGACTTGCTTAAGTACCCCCCTCACCCCGGTCATTACCATGAGGTCATTCTCCCTTTCTTATAATTGTACTTCTACACAACGGCCCACTCTTCATCACACCTAAGCATAAGAATACAGTTCTCTCTGTCTCTTTGGATCTTCATTTTTAAGACTCCTGGAACACGTAAAACCCGTATTAAATAAATGTGTGTAGTTCTTTCTTGTTAATCTATCTTTTGCTATGGGGGCTTCAGCCATGAATCTTGCAATGGGTGAAAAAAACATTGATTTCTTTTCCTTCCCCTATACCCACTGGGGCAAACGCATGAGCTTCCCAGTCTCTGCCATTCTGAGAAGCAGTTATTTTTTAAAAGCTTCCTCATCCTCCGCCAAAGGAGGGTTCAGGGCTTAGCACCAGGGCACTTTCAGTGAGGTCGTGTTTTCCTTCTCATATGATCCAAAATGGTCTAAGCCTCCCAGAACTCCTTCCTTACTCTCAGGGAAGCTTTTCCAGGAAGCAGTCCTGAAGTTTAAGATAATGTGTCCTAGAGGACACAGGGACACAGGTAAGCCTCTCTTTTGGCCCAGAGGCTATTGACATGGCCCAGGCAGGCAACATGTTTATTATTGAAGGGTTTCTCAAGGTTGAAGGTGGGTTAGCACCTTCCTGATGGCCAACTGGGAGATGCTGCTTTTTCCAACTTTCCTGTACCCAAAGAGACATTGCACAGTTCCTTCCAGCAAAGACAGTTGCCTAAGGTCTGGGGTCCTGGAGCAGAGACTACCCAGTTTGACTGCTTTTATCTGAACTTTTGAGTCACTCTCTAGGAAGCACACTATTATCTCCTTTTATCTTCCTCTTGCTCAAAGAAAGGGCAGAATTAACTTTCTAAACATGACAGAGCGACTTTAACACCCAGGGCAGATAAAAGAGCCCTGCTCAGATGATTCCCCACCTTGGATGAGGGGGGGTGTGATATAATGGCAATAAACTGGGAATGTAGCAAGGCCTGTTGGTTCAGGTTGTCCTGTGTGTCCCCTGTCTTTAGATGAGGGTATCCCTTTCCTCAAGGTTGGGAAGGGCACCTCTGGAGGGAGGGTGGGTGACCCACTATGGGAAGAAGGTCCTGGGTGTTGTGACCTGCTCCAGGGGAGGAGAGCAAGAGGAAGTCAAACATGATCTTCCTGCTTTGGCTGCTTCCACAAAATGCCAAGGTGCCATATTTTGGGGTAGCATGCTCTGAATCTCTGAAGACCTATAATTTTACCTCTTTCTTTTTAAAATTAGCACTATGGATCCCACAATTTATGGCTACCAATGAAATCCTTTTTCACTCTTCAGCTCTTGGCTGTGACCCTCAAATTAGACCAGATGCCAATCATGTTGGCTCTCAAAGAGAGGCAGGTTTTAAAAAAACAAAAAATAAAGTTTTAAAAGGTTGCTTTCGAGGGGACTACAAGCATCTTATCAGCCATCTTTAAACAGTTGGTAGTGATTTCCTGAGGCACTGAAGCTGCACAGGTTTAAAAAAGGATGTTAAGGGTTGTCTGTGCTATACCTAAACTAGGGGAGCTGGACCAAAGTTTCTTTAAAGAGAGAGGGATGCTAAAATGAAGAGAACAGGAGAGAGATCTGAGTTTCCTTCCCCAAGAATGCTGGGGAACTTAGAGTCCAGTTCTCTCTGCAGCCTCCACAGAGCGGGGCAGGTTCTCGTGACCAGGAAGTAGTACCAATATCACCTGAGGAGCTGCCCCACTCTAGCCCCTACATTTGGTCTCCTCTGATCCTGCTTTACATGAGCAATTAGACTTGGAGGCCACCAGTGGCTAGTGGCCCATGGTCCCCCAAAGCCTGACTTCACACGCCTCCCTTCAACCCATCTGCCTTTTTACAGACAAAGTGAAGAAGAGACACCACACAAAGGCAAGCAGCCTGATGTCTTCAGATACGGAACAGAAAAGAGACCCAAAGATCAACTGGTTTCTAAGTGTGTCCAAAGACCACCTGCATCAGGATCACCCAGAGAGCATGTTTAGAAATGCAGATTCCTGATCCCACCCACTCCCAAAGAAACTGAATTAGTTGGTGACTGGTATGTATCCCACATTTTGTATGTCATATATTTTAGTCCAAATGTCAAAAAGAATGGAATACATTGCTTATCCTCTGTCGGCCTAAAAGAACTAGTGAGGGCAAAGCCAGGGTGGTCTCCAAATATTGCCCCTTCGGGCTCTGCCCACTCCACCCCACTGCTTCTGGGGCACAGATAAGGTGGAGAAATGAAACCAGCTTGGTAAACATATTTTGCTCTTCACCATCTGTTTATTGTTTTCAAGCCATTTGTTTGTTCTCATGAACTACTTTGGCTATTAAGGCCCCAAGGAGTAATGATTAAAGTCATATTTTGGACTTGGAACACCATAATTTAAATTCTGACTTTGCTACTTCCTGGCTGTAAAACCCTGAGTAAGTTACTTATCCTTTCTGTGCCTCAGTTTTATGATTTAAAAAATAATAGTATCTGAATAGACACAGGACACACCACCCCAAATAAGGCTATAAGAGACAAGAATACACCATCCCAAAACATGCTTTTTGGTCATCTTGATTATTTGAACCTGGTCATTTTGAGAAACTGCCACTACAGGAGTTGCTGTAAAAGTTATTCTTCTGTGTGAGAAATTGACATCTATGAAGGAAGGCTCTATTTGAATGGGTGTCTCCCAGGCTGCTCCAAGAAGAAAAGAATGAGTAGATTACTCAAGATTCAATGGAGGGGGCACCTATTTACATCTATTCAACAAACCTTACATTGTATTATGTGCTTTTCCTCACCATCCCACACCATTCTTTCTTTGATTCAGAAAATGATGGATTTGAGCCAAATATTTAGGGGGACAGGGGCAGAGGCAGGGTTGTGTACCATTCCTGAAGTTCTGCAATACCAGGTCAATGTGTGGCGTGAATGGAGCAAGCCGTATTCTATCTCCCTGCTCCAAAAATCCATTTAATGTATTCTCCTCAGAAAGAGGACTATCAGATATTAAATCAATAAGAACAGATAGTACAGTTGATCTTAGCCAAAAAGCTGAGGAGCAATATAAGCCTAATGTTTAAACATGTCTTCAGGAACTTCTCTAGAATTTATTTTTCTATGGACGTTCTCCCCATGTATGTAGGAAGTGTACATGTTGATAAACTTCTGTTTTTCTCTTATTAATTAGTCTTTTTTGATAGGGAGTCCCTGCTAATAAGGGTAAAAAGGAAATTATTTTTCTTTCCCTATTATTATTGTTGGAAGTGTTGTACTAATTAATACAAGTTGTGACATTTCAACTAAGACAGATTGTGAGAATTCAGACAGTAATACACATAGAGTTTTAAACAGAACCCAGTATGAGGTAAGTGCTCAGTAAGTGTAAACTGTCTTCCTTATTATTATTGGTTTCTCTCCTATGATCATTTCTAAAGATAGGAGGAGAGTTTAACTATGCATTTGGCCAGCATGGGTGTAATGCTGATGGACATTAACCCAGATACAATCTTAGGTCATTAATTGTTTATTCTCTCTCTTGGCCATCTCAGTCAAGGTCATTCACTGCCCTTGAGATTCTGCCCAGGTGCACGTTCAGTGAGGACTGAGCTTAGCTAGTACAGAACTCCATGAGGCAGGGGTGTGGTAGAAACCTAATCATGCCTCTGTAACTATGCACAATGTCATTCTAAGGTATTCTTCCTTCAGTTAGTGTAGAAGCAAAGGAAAATGTCCCCTCTGCTCTCTGCAAGTTTGCTAGAATAAACTACACGCAAAGATTAAATAGGAGAAAAGGTATACTGTAGTTTATTAATGTGAAAAAGGGGGAAATCATTGCATAGAGGAAAAAATCACAGGAGTGCATGACCACCCACCAGCCCAGCATCATTCAGAAATATATACCACTTTTCCAATAGAGGAGGGGGAAGAATGGGGAATGGAAATAATCTTGAGGGGTATAGTGGATTTTTAGGGGAACTCCTTGGGTTTTGAGAACATACAGTGGCCTGGGGACAAAGTCCATTTAGCCAGCAAAACACACACGATTCTTAAGTGATTCTCTATGGAACTGAAATAGAGGGAAAAGTGGGACTAGAAGTGTGGGACTAAACAGAGAGCTTTTGTCCTCTATTACAGTGACCAAAAGTGAGACAAAAGTCAGTCCAGGTGTGTTGACAGACTTCAGTCTTTCCTCCTGCAATATGAGTTTAATTAATGAAAGCTCTCAAAAGGACCTCAGGTAATTATTTTCCTCCTCAGGGGTCCAGACTCTGAACAGACAAACCTTGCAGAAAGCCTCTTCTTGAACTGGGAGAGGGAGAAATGAGGGAAGGTCATACATACTTGGATTCTGGGGTACGACCTCAGGTCTCTCAGCATGTCAAAGTACATGCCTTTGGGATACTATTTTTTGAGCCCCAACACTAGCTTTTCAATAGCATCAGAGGTGCTTTTAATACTTCCTCCCCAGACAAAAATCAAAGCAGTATCTACTAAATGAGGGCACAGGCTCCTCAGGGAAGAAACCACTCAGACCTGCCCCCTACCAGATTTGACCACCTCACCAAAATATCCATGTTAGTGACCCTCCGACTGGAGATCAATGCTGAGATCAATTCAGCACAACTTGCTGCAAGAAATGGAGAAACTAGATTTCCTAAGCATTTATAGCATGAATCTTGTCTTTTTGAAAGAAGATGACATTAAGAAGTGGTAACTACCAAATCCAAGTCTGTTATTTAAATAAAGAGCAAGCATGAGTTGTCAGGGATCTGAGTGTGCTGAAGTATGTCCTAGAAATGAAAATCACTTTAGATAATCACTCTTTTTGCTATTAGGAGAACTCACGAGGCTCACATGACACCTGGTTGGAAAGTCATCAAGACTTCTGAAGCATGTCATGTTGCAGTGTTCCTCTAGCAGAACTACCAGACCACCCTGATGAAGCATCATGAGCCCCTGAGATGTTGTCTGCTTATTCAACAAGCATTCATCCTAGCATGGCCTTGGGACTGGGTGCCACAGAAGATGCATGAGATTCTGTTTTGCTTGACCACTTGTTACCTGTCTGACTTGGAATAAATAATAAAAATCTCTTTGAGGTTCAGGTCCTCATCTGGGTCATAGCGAGTGAAATACTTAACTGTATAATAATACTTAATTGTAAATAAATTTCCATGGCTAAAAGTCACAGAAAAAGCATGATTCAGGAGCTTTAACACCCATGGGAACTCTTATCTCACAGAACAGGTATGAGCACAAGTGTGCCCGCAGCCTGGCTTCTTCTTTCTGTTGACTGTAACAATATGCGACAAATTGCGACAGGCAAATATGCAACACCAAGGACCATCCTGTGTGCCTCCTTTACATCAGTGAGAAAATTTTCCTCACTGTCCACTCCCACCCTACCAGACTTCTCCTCACACCTCATTGGCCAGAACTATATCACATGACCACGTCTGAGCCAATCACAGGTGACACATTACATGAGTCGCTTGGACTTCAGTGCTTATCCATCAGCTGAGGACAGAATCACTTTTCCTGAGGACAGGGTGATAGAAAGGAAGACAAACTCCCAAACAAAAGCCAGGCCTCTGACAAGAAGAAAGCAATAGCTGGCTGGTATGTGGGCCGCCAACTGTGTCTACTACACCTGCCCACCAAACTCTGGTGACTAAATTAAATCATGAATGAAAATGGCCTACTATAGAACCTGGCACATGAGCATAATAATAACATTTGACATTTTTAGGACTTATGATGTGACAGGCATTTTTATGAATTATCTAATTTAATTAGTACCCTAGGAGGTAAGCATCATTATTATGCCCAGTCTAGAGATGAGGAGATCAGAGCACAGGTAGGTTAATTAAGTTGACCAAGGCTAGAGTCTGAATTTAAACTCAAGTAATCAGACTTGAAAGTCCTGCTCTCATGTATTTCTCTCAGATTTATGGCACTGAAATGTTTTTCAAATGTATCCCTCCAATCCTTCCCTAATCTCAAGAAATGTGTAAATTTGAGGCTTCATGGGATTAACCCACAAGAGAAACAGGAGAATAACATGAGACAGCCACTGGTAAAATCCTAAGTGGTAACTAGAGGAAAGATGGAACTAATAGGGTGAGCACTGAGCCCAGAGAAAGACAGTGGGGAGAGAGGGATGAAGGCTACAGGGCCTAGGTCTTGGTGCAGGTGCGAGTTTGGGAGGCAGTAAAGAGCACACCAAGCTAGAGCGACAGCTTATGTTTTCTCGAAATAAAAATCTATTCTTCTGTAACTTATGAAAAGGGAAATGGCTTTGGAATCTGTTAGTTGGAAAAGTGGAGAAGCAGTTCAGAGGTTCAACTGTATTCAGCTTTAGGAGAGTCTGCTTCACTCATGAAACCATGGGCTCCTGAGTTGTGTTACCGTGGACTTTCTGAATCAGAAAACATTTGTTCCAAGGAAGGCCAATCCCATGGGTAAACTCTAGAATTTTCCTAGCATTCTTTTATACCTACTGCCTATCAGCCTCAGTCTATAGTGCTATGAACTTCCAAGAGAAGTTTAATCTGGTAGACAAGGCCTAGAATTTCCCCCCTAAAATCAGGGAAACATCTCCTTTTGTAGATTTGGGTGGGTAAAGGATAATGCTAGGGTTCAAACTCAAGGTAAGTATGCACATATCCTCATTTCTTACCTCCCCTCATAAGATTATCTCTCTCTGCCCACAGTATGGGTGCTCAAGTCTTCCAAATAACTCCAGAGATTTGAACCTGACCTCACATTCTTATAAAAAAAAAAAAAAGTCAGAAAAAGCTTTGGAATGTTGGATACAAGGAAATATTTCCCAGAGGAATTTGACCTAAAGAAGAGGATTTCTCTTTGTATTTTATATCACTTCCTGTTACACCAACTTTAGTGTCAAGGACCTTCAGGAACTTACTATAGTACAATACTACTCTGGGTAGTATTTTATGTCCTGTTTAAATCAAAGTGAGGCATCTATATCCTATTTAGAGTCTTGTCTGTTAACCGCTTCTAATTCTTGTTAATCATCCTTTACTCTGTCTGGTCTTAATATTTCTTTCCAGATTCCTCTGCAGTTGGACATCAGGCATCAGTTATCTTTCTAGGTTAGTGAAACAGAACCAAGTTGAGAAAGGATGGTCTTTGGCATCAAATCTCAGCATTGTCATTCGTTGCTGGTCACTCGATGCTCAATGCCTGTGATCCGGGACTGAAATTCTAAAGCAAGGACCTTGTGTACAGGACAGTGCAAGGTAAGCTCCATCCAGACAGGGGTTTAAAAAAGAAAAGGAAGAGAAAGGAGAAGAGGAGAAAAAGGAGAAAGAGAGTAAGAAGGAGGGGGAGAAGAAGAGGATGGCCATCTAGATCATTGTCTGGCACATAATTCATGTTTTAAGTGATAGTTTCTTCTTCTCTGTTCTTTTCTCTTTAAAGAAAGGGGCAGGAGAAGTTCAAATATAGTCAAAGTGAATGAGCATTTGTGTATAGTTTTCCTGATGACTTATTATGCCACTGAGTTGCTGTCTGACCTAGAGTGACTCCTTTCACCTTCTCTGGGTCTCATTTTCTCATCTTCCAAAAAAGCAGGTTGAGTTTAATACTTTCAAAATCACCTGTATATTTAAAATTCCATGTATATATTAAACTGTGTCATTCCCCAAGGTCTAAGTCACAGGCATTCCCCAAATTCATTGCTACATCCAGACTCCCTAGATATCTCCCTCAACTTGGTGTGGTTCAGTTTCTGCCCTTTCAACTGTACGTGCAGAATCCCTCCTGTTTCTTGTGCAATGGCTGCTGTCTAAGATTAACAAGTACCTACTGACCACTTAGGAAGGAGGTGTGGCAGGGACCCAGTGATAGTGATCTCCAAAGGACCAAGCTAGACTACTAGCAGTTCAATCAAAGCCACTAAGAGCAAACAAGTCAAATGGAAAAGAAAGTAAGGTTAGCTCACACTGTGGCTTACTAACTGTGCACCTCTGAGACCCGGAGGTTCCTCAGAGCCCCTGGCAGCAGAGAGGGAGGGGAGGCAGAAATAGAGGGATCTAGCC